CTCCAGCCAGCTCTATCTACGACGATGTTACTGAGACGATGGTCGCATGTAGCATGCCGAACCGAAAGAGGGCATGCGACTTGGGTACGGTTGGATAATGGCGCTGAGAGATCGTGAAATTCAGCAAATCCGGCCAATTCGGATACGTTGCACGGAGGCGGTGTTGAAGGGAGCTTGTAGCAGATGGAAGTCTGTCAGTGCCAGCCTGGCAGACAGGAACCGGACCTTGCGCGAAACTTGCAGCGTGAGGGAGGTGCGTGCCAAGCTCCGAGGTACCTACGTACGCTTACTACTGGAACTTCCAACACTCGGAGAGTTTCATTGGTCAGTACGCCAGGGAACACTGCGCTACTGGTTTCTACGCAGAGCTACTAGTCGAAACATGGGTACCTTTCAACGTGTTTGGGGGCAGATATCCCTAACGAAGGTAGCATAGGTATCCGAAGGTAAGGGAGCCTCCCGGTAAGGTAGGGAGGACAGCTTGCCTCAGCTCCATACATGGAAGGTACAAAGTGCCACTGCACGGCAGCCACCCTTTCAGGATGCCGCTAAGGTAGTCGCCCCTCCTGCATAATTACTAGTGAAGATTCCTATCGCATTTCCTGGCTCAGATTCAACTTCTGCAATTATTGTATGGCGCGGCTACGACGAAACACCCACGTCTTTCACATCGCGGTCCCGCCATCATAACCCTGTCAGCCTCGTTCAACAGCGCCTAAGGACCGATTCCCGTTAACGGCGACAATGGGCAAAAACACAGACAAGCTCTACATTACCCATTCTGAGTGGTCATCATCGGATGCCTACTCTGCCAGCGCCGGCGCTAATGTCAATTCGCGGTCGCGAGGCTCCTTTCGCCGTTTGCCCTTCAACTTTTGTGCCGCTAGCCTCCAGCCCTTCAAGAATCCAGTCTGCACCAAGGATGGTACTATCTTCGACGTCGAAATCATCAGCTCGTGGTTGGACAAGCACAACACAAATCCTGTCAATGGCGAGCCGTTGAACGCCAAAGACCTGATCAAGCTGAACTTTTCAAGGAACGCCGAAACCGACTCGAGGAGCGCAGGCTTAAGCGATGGCCAAGGCGATCTGATCGATCCCGTCACCTTCAAGGTCTTCACTGACAACACTCACATCGTTGCGATTCGACATGGAACATATGCAAACGTCTTTGCCTGGGAGACCGTCGAACGAATGAATATCAAGGCGAAGAACTGGCAGGATCTTGTTGACGACGAAAAGTTCACAAGAGCGGATATCATTACCTTGCAGGACCCCCAGAACGCTGCTAGCAGAGACTTGAGCCAGTTCAAATACCTCAAGGATGGCGAAGATGCTATCCTGAGCAAAGAGCAAGAAGAGGAGCGGAAGAATGGCAATGTCAACATTGATGCGCTGGGCAGGATTGGTGACAAGGTCCTGCGCGCAAAAGAGGCTGTCGAGAAAGCGAGGAAGGAACGCGATGGAGGCGCCGACGTCAACCGCTCTTCAGGTGCCGTTGTGAAGGCGACATCTGCAGCCCAAAGGAAATCCATGGTAACGGAGAAGAAGATCCCGTCAAATGCTGCGGTCTACACCAACGGCAGAGCTGCCGCCAGTTTCACCAGCACAGGCCTCACGCCCGAGACGAGTGGCGAGAGGGCACTCTTGACTGACGAAGAGTACATGCTCAAGCCGAAACGGGTCAAGATCAAAGGATATGTCCGCATAGAGACAAACTTGGGCGACCTCAATATCGAACTGTATCCGGAATACGCACCTCGCGCGGTATGGAACTTTACGAGATTGGCCCAGAAGGGCTATTATAAGGGTGTCACCTTCCACCGAAACATCAGAAACTTCATGCTCCAGGGAGGCGATCCTTCAGGCACAGGCAAGGGCGGCACCAGCATCTGGGGAAAGAACTTTGAAGACGAGTTCGACGGGCCTTTGACGCATGATGCTCGCGGCGTTCTTAGCATGGCAAACAAAGGCAAGAATACCAACTCAAGCCAGTTCTTCATCATCTATCGGCCAACGAAGCACCTGGACAACAAGCATACTGTATTTGGCAAGGTCGTTGGTGGGCTCGACGTGCTTTCCAAAATGGAAGACGTTCCCACCGACGGGTCCGACAGACCTTTGAACAAGATTGTCATAAACGACGTGGTGGTCTATCTGGATCCGTTCCAAGAGTTCCTCAAGGAAAAGAGCGAGATCGAGAATCTGGAAAAGAAGAGGCAGGCAATAGCCTTGAGTGGAGGTACCGAAGACGACAAGACAACGTGGACGGGCAAGCGGATCCGAGCCGACGGCACTGTGGACAGTGGGAGTGCCGGAGCTGGCGTGGGCAAATACCTGAAGTCGCAGGGCTCCGCTGCTGCAGATACGGGGGCGGCCGACTTGGATACTTGGGAAGAACCGGCCAAGAAGAAGTTCAAAAGTGGCGGATTCGGCAATTTCGATAACTGGTGAGACATCGTGGCCGATTTAACGCTGATATAGTTGAAGGCTATGGGACGAAGAAAAGACATGATACCCCTTTTGACCATCATACTGCGCATCCAATGCTACTTGGATCTTCTGCGCACCATCTATGTATATGTCTATTGATACAAAGGCAGCAAGCGTTTCAGCCACGCCTCACTAAGCTCTCCAGATCTAAACGATCAAGTCGGACGGTATATGTGTCTGTGGCATCCGATTCCAGGATACATCAGACCACGGAATATACACCTCCTTGTCCCGAACCATGAGTGCCACTCCATGAGCTTGCATCAACCCCGACTCTTCGAGTATCGCTTTCAGTCGGTCGACGACAAAGTCTTTGACTTCTTGCGTACAACACGATGAAACTCCAACCAAGTACAGCGGCCACACAATCGTGTTGCTTGCGGAAGCAAGGGTCATGAACCGCTCGGCATCGTTGCTGCGGCCCTTCGCGTAGGTTGGGTCTTGCAGAGTTGGGCCATTGAAAGACCTCGGGCCTGGCGGCGTTTCAGCCACGGACGACGGCGAAGACGACGATGCAGAAATCGAAGGAGATAGCACAATTCGAGACGGAGACTTCGTTACTGGTACAATGGCTGACGGTGAGCCGCCGCCGCCGCCTCCAAACAGAGCGTCTCTAAAATTGACAACGCCGAAATGTTGAGGAATGCTGGCCAACACAGTTTCGCAAAGTTTCTCCAACAATTCGACAGACTTTGCCAGCTGTAATTTTGCCTCGTACGGCCAGAGCATAATGTGTTGACCTTGAAAGCATTTGAAAAGCTCTCCGAGGATGGTCTCGTGTACCATCATTCTTATCGATCGGACGCCGTTCCAAGTCGCAGCCAGCCCCAGCGTGGCGTATACATCACAGCGGTGACCATCGAAAACGGATGGGTGTGATGTCGCAAGCCTCACAGATCTGTATCTCCACGTTTCAGGCAAATCGGCAATGACATCGGCAAAGTCTTGATCGACGCTGGACAGTTGGTTGATGATATCGGCCGTTTGGTTAAGTTTCCCGCTGTTAATGTCGTACCGCAGCTGCATGACCTTATATATGGGACCAGATAATCGCCAGCCAGGGTCAGTTCCGCCCGAAAGCATACCCAGCTGGTTCCGGAGGTCGATGAGAGACTGCGGCATGGGCATGTCTCTTTGCATACAGTTGATGAGGACGATCTGTGTCAGCATCATGAACATTCGTGCCCCCGCTCTAGTTGTGAACTGGCCGAGGCCTCGCATCTTGGCTAGAGCAGAGGCACCGTTGAGATGGTTTTGCCATGCTCTCACTGTCTGGTTGGTACGACCGCTCAACATTTCGTAGGTCCCCAACACGAGAATGGACAACATGGTGGTGTCCTTGACGGCTTCAACTGGGTCCCTCAGAGCATCATTTGTCATTTTGAGAGCGGCGCCGTAGCTCCGACGCGACCAGTCCATCATTTCTGCACACATTGTCAGGTGCGAAAGGCCTGCCAAGCCCACAGCAGCTATACTAGCCATCACGCCGTCCGCCTGTCGACTGGGCAGCATGCTGGCGGGGCGCCAGACATCAAAGATGAAGTCATAATTTTGATGGCAGGCATTCTCGTCCATGGAGACATAGCGAGAAAAGAAAAAGGCCGTGCCACGTTCCTGATATGAGGGCGACAAAGAGTACAGAGGCCTTGCGCGTGGTGCCATTGACCAAGGCCCGTCTTCGTCGTCATCGCTATCGGAGGAGGAGGATGACCATTGGATCTGCCGCGGCCGATGCCTAATAGTCATATTCTGCATCGTGGTTTCCATGGGACGAGGTGGATATTGGCGCCGAACGCTAGGTCTCACGGCCGTTCCAGGAGGACTCGGATCGGAGCTGTCGTGGTCGGTGCTTGCTATTACATTTTCGGAGGACGATCCGGCACTCGAGGCCTGTGCATTCTTTAATCGACCCCTTGCCTTCGTTTTGGCAGCTTTTTTGATGACGTGTGAACTCTCATCTCGGAACATGAGGTCGACGAGGTTTCGGTAGCCAGGACATTGTTGCTGTCGCTTCTCACACTGGCCACAGCCGGGCTCCTTTTGATCACACTGTTGGCATCGTCATTAGCCTAAAGTCAGAAGCCTCTCCCGCCGTCCGAGAAGACGTTGCCTCCCCGCCGACGTGCAAGAAACTTTTGGCAATCAACGACGAGAGCAGACCTAGCTGCACGAGTTGCGAGATGTCTACAACAAGGATAGGGAACTTACCCTGATCTTGCGCTCACGACAGTTGGAACAGCCTTTCGACGGCTTACCGCAGTAGACCATGCTGGAGACGCGGATATCTCTCCCAGAGCAGCCAAGAGGACCAGAAGAAAAAGATACAACTAAAAAAAGCCACGATGCGAAGTTGACAAAGGGCCAGTGTTGGGTTAAGAGCTGAGTAATGAGATGGATCGCTTCATGTGGGTGCCATGATCGGATCAGATCATGACACTGGATCTACTCCGTTATGCAATGGCGATCGAAGCGGGGAGGTGCGAGGCCAAGACGACTGGGCAGAAGATTTAATTTGGGGAGCAAACCGCGGGCAGCCCGATGGAAGAGGGGAGGGCAAAAAAAAAAACAAGACGGTCACATCCTCTCAACGGGAGAATCCTCCCTGGTCCTTGGGGGGGTCGAGAATGTGAGATGACGGACTGCGGCGGCGAGGAGGGGTGGCAGGTTGCCTTGATGTGGTCGATGAGGAGGGACAACAGCTGCAGTCTGCAATTGGACGTTGAACGTGTGAGTGGCACACGCTCGCACGCCTCGTTGTGTGCCTGAACCTGTGAAGGTATCCGTACGGCGAGCCGCGAAAGGGTCTGGACGACTGAAGGATGAGTGTAGAGAGGAGATGTGGGGGAGTGAGGAGACAGAGAGTTGAGGAAAGTGAGTGAGATTGGAGAGTGAGAGTGAGAGTGAGCCTGAGCCTGGCCTCCTTCTCCCTCCCGTCTCCTGTAAGGACGGGGAGACGACCTGAGAGCGGGATGTGTGTGCGTTATCGCCTTAGTCGCCTCTTCTTCGCGGCACCGGCACGCCGCACCAGCAGCTGTCATCTTTTGGTTTGCAGCAGGCCAACAGTAGAAGCACCTCACTTTCCGCGGGTTGCACTGTTGCGCATCGTCTTTTTGGCCGCGTCTAGGCCCTTTCGGAACAAACGACCGACCGGGGGCTTCGCGGGACTGGAACCCCTCGGAGGAGCTACTGCAGTGACGGACAGTTCGTGAGCGCCGAACTGGGGCCTCCTGGGGGTCTTCTGGAGCCCAGTTAGGTGCCGAGGTTTGATCCATATTGCGTTTTTATTGATCTTGTTCAGACTTTTTGTCACCGGTCCCAACGGTCGAGCAGCAAATTACAAACCATCCGTCCGCGGTCCGGGGTCCTGTTGCCGCCTTTCCGTGTTTCTCGAATCTCTCTCGGGAACAATCCAACAGCCGTCTCCGATCGACCATCGGTCTGCACGTACCCCTTCTATTCCGGCATTATCCTCTATTGTATTACAGTCTCTGTGACTCGTCGTCGTCAACGCCAATTCCAGTCGAGACTTGAACGCGTGGAATTCCCTCAAGGAGAAGAGAGAGCGCATACGTACGAATCTTCGTACGAGTATCCGCATGTCGCCCATGTCACCTACGGGAATGGCTGCAGCTCGCGTGCGGCATGCATCGAATAGGGCTTCCAGCGGAGTTGAGGCCAGGGTTGGAATTGTTTTAGCTCCGCTTTCCCAGCCAAATGCCCAGCCCTTTCTCTACGAAATTAGTACGAATACAGCCTACTGTCGCCGGCTGCATGCTGATTTCTAACGGTCTCTCCCAATCCCGTTCTTCGTTCAATTCCGGTGGGATCCACGAGAAAGAGAGAGACCGAAAGACAGCGGCCTACACCTGCATGACTGGCCCACTCCTTCGCTTCCTTCAAGTTCCCTCTGGGATTCTGCATTCTGCGGTGCCCGCCGAAAGGTGACTGGTCGCTTTCCGGGGCGGCACGCCGTGATCTGGCAATCTGTCGGGTTCGCTTCCCTGTCGCAGCTCCAGAGGGGAAAGGGCTGAATCGAAAGCAAGCCCTGTCAACCATTTTCTTTGCTGTCAGAGGTGTCACCGCAGAAGAGACATGCGGATGCAAACCATCTGCCTACTATTGTGTCTATACTCTGTACCATTGATTGGGTATTCTCGGAGGCCTCGTCACCAGTGACCGGGTCCGAGTCGACCAAACGCTGCGTTTCCTCCCGCTGCATTGGTCTACTACTGCAGAAAAAAGCAACGGGCCCTGAATGTTGTCTAAGACACGGACAGACTATTCGTTCAAGTTTCAACAGCGATTACGCCGCCAGGATTGGTGTTCCCCCATCGAGCCTTAGATGGGCGCCCGAACGTCTGCCATGGCCAGAGACATGCGGAGCATTGCCGCCGGCGACACAAACAAAACAACACAAGTTCTGGTCGGGGCTTTAAGCTCAATATTTGATGAATTGATTAAGAAAGAATGATGATATGTGACATGTGATGGTTACATATGCGCACAACTGTCTGGTATCTACGAATATCCACGCCAAAATGCAATCCAATATCGATCGATCGACCTATTACACCAGGGCTTTCACACGGGCCCACAGCCTCTGCCTCTTGCTCTTGGTATTGCTCCGGCGGCTGCGAATGAGAGGGACGTATTAGACACAATTACAAATTCCTGAGGGGGGAGGGGGGTTTGCATCGAGATACGGATGCCGGCCACTTACAGTTCCTTTTGCGACTGCGCTTCTTCCTTTTGCGGTTGCTTTTCTGACGTTGTTGCAGGAGCAGTTACAGCCTCTTTCGTTGCAACCTCAGTCGGGGCCTCAGCCGCAGCAGCAGTCGTACCATTGCCGCCGCCGATGCCAACGGTGAGAAGCTTCGGGTTGGAGTCGAACAGCGAACCGGACTGGTCCGTGCCGTTTGACGAGCTGACATCGTCGTAGGGGAACGCGTAGCCGCGGCCGTCAGGGCTGACCTCGTGACAAATGCGCGAGTAGTGGTTCGTCCGGACGTCCTTGTAGTAGTTGGCTACGCTTTCCCCCTCGGGCTGCCGGTCATTGATGAGCAGTGTCGACCGGTTAAAGGCCGCCGCGATGCGGGCGCCGATGGCCCCCATCTCAGCCTGGTTATTGGGGTACCCGCCAAACGGCCCCGTGCTGCAGCTGAAGATGTCGCGGGCGGCGGGCTGGGCAAAGGAGCCGACGGAGCCGAACGTCAGGAGATTATCGGAGCCCACGCGGCCCTTGACGTCGCCCCATTCGGCCTGCGTGTTGACGGTGAGGTCGGCGGAGCGGTACTTGTCCCACACGGCGTCCACGTAGGGCTGGTAGTACCCGTTGAAGAGGTTTTGGTTCATGACGATACCCGAGTTGGGGCTCAGGGCGCGCAGGTTAGCGGACCCGTCCGCCGTGCGCACGACGAGGTTGCTCCAGCCCGCGCCGTCGGCGGCATCTTGCGCCTTGAGCTTGTCGCAGATGATGTCGAGGGCGTTGCTCGGGAACCCTGGCACGTTGGTGACGGTGCCGGCGTCGTTCTCGAGCGTCAGGGACACGGGGATGCTGACAAAGTCGACGTACGAGATGTTGACGTAGACCTGGAAGCTGTTGAAGGTGAACTCGCAGAATCCCCAGTTGAGGTTGTAGTTGGGGTCCGCCGGGTTGGTCGCCGAGGGCTCCACCACGGCCGGGCCCGGGTTCAGGAAGAACTTGAGCGGGCCGTCCCGAGAGAACCATATGCGGCCGCCGGCGATCTGGGGAATGGTCAGCTTCTTCGTCGACCCCGGCGCGCCGAGCGGGATCGCGGTGTCGGCGCCGACGTCCTGGAGGATGTCCGAGGGCGAGCTCGGGTAGAAGCCGGTGACGCCGTCGGCCTGGAGAAGGAAGACGGCATTGTTGCGGTTGAGGTCCAGGCCGGTTACGTAGGCGTAGGCGTTGGCGGAGCCCGTATTGTTCTGGAGAACGATATCGAGGGTTGATCTCGTCATGGCTTCTTCTCTTACGCCTTGATATGCTGTTGTGTTTTCTGTTCTATGTCTCTTCTCTGGTGGGCCAAAGACTGTCAAGCTGTTTTCCCGACAAAGGATGACGATTCAAGCCTTTTTATTATCCAAGGCGGGATCCCCTCCGGTTCCAAGCTTGATGGGCCTGTACCTTGGAACGTCGACAGGCGCGACTAATACCTCTTAGCTAGGGTGGCCATGTGCAAGTTTTCTTTTGGAGCCCCCTGCCCTCCAACAGGATCTACAGGTGACTATTGGGTGACTCGGAACTGGTTATAAACAGCCCAGTACGGATACGCGACGCGCGAGTGTGATGTGTTAGATTCTCCCTTCCTTTGCTGGCACGGGCTGGATATGACGGAATCGTCGACATGGATATGCGGGACTAGTTCGCCTCTTGACCCCACTAGCAATGGACGTGTTGTCTTGCCCGGTTTTTCATTTGGTGACGAGACGGCTCCACGCTTCGGCCGGCAGACGGTAGACCCCTCATAAGGCTCATCCTCGTGGTCTTGGGTGAGGTGTTATGCCTTAGTTTTCCAGGACTGGTGGAGTGTAAGAAAGCGGCGCAGTTCTTTTTCACGCCCGTCTCGTGTAAGTGAGAGGAGGGTGAGTGCGGATGCAGACAAGCATTGCTCGTTCAAAAGGGTATCGGTGGTTGTCCAGATATCCACCCGCAAAGCACTCACGGCACTGGAACCCGAGTATCTGACCAATATCTGCATCCTGCAGTCGGAACCACAAAGCCTGGGGTAATAATGTCGCGGTCCGGGCTCTTTTCTCGAAACCTTTGTGGGGTGTGGAAACCGATCACCCGCCGCTCGGGATGGATGAAGAGACTTCGACTTGACTCGACAGAGTAATCCTGAAGGTTGCGCCCCAACTCCCGGCGACGCTATTGAACAGCTGCGGGAGCCTCCGAGGCGGACGGTGAGAGGCCAGTTCGTCGTCGATCACTTCTTGTTCATGTGCCTTCTTTTGGGGTATGTAGGGGGGGCTAAAGCGCATGCATGTGCGGGCGGCTGATCCCCCTCCAAGGAACAGTTTTTGGAGACGCGTTTTCCTGGGGAATCGCGAGACATTCTTGATTGCCGGTGGTTTAGATCGTCTGGCTGTCAAAAGTTGGGTCAGATGACAGGCTACTCGACTACATGTGTTGAACCTATTGCTTACTGCTTAGCGCGGAACAGCAATGATTCGCCTTTTTGGGCCCTTGGTGGTCTCGGAAGTGTTGCAATATTAGCTGACGTCTCATACGTCGTTGATGGGAATCTGAGAGAACTTCCCTTTCTGCGACGAACTGTTTGGTCATCCGATCTATCAGCTCCTTTATGATCAAAGGGCCTGCCACATTTGGCGCCCGCCTCATCATGAGAACGGTTCTTCACTTGGGAAACCAAGTCCCTTGGCATACCACAGCGTAATGGTCAAGTCATCAAATGGCAGAACGTAGTCTTGTAGGAACGAGTAGTGGATATCATTCGTAGTCATCGTAAGTAGTAAAGAAGTAACATCGTCTGATGAACGAAGCGCATGGTCGCCTGACGACCTGCCCTCCTTTTCAGATCAAAACACAAGACCCAGAGACGCCTCATGCTATGCCGGTAGAAGAAAAAGAGAATCCGTAAACCCCCCATTACCCGAAAACCCGAAAAATGAAGACCGAGCAGACCCAACCTGCCGGGACGAATGAAGAAGACATAAGGCGAAAGATCAGATGAACCATATCCCCAAAAGGAACAACCCAATGGCCAGAGACCACGACGGCGCCTCTAATGTCCCAGCAGCGGCTGCAACACCACCATCATCACTACCACCTGCTCCACCAGAGCCTGGCGTTCCAGAAACAGTCTGGTTGTTGGTCATGTTGGTCTGTTTCGTGAAGAAGAAGTCGGGCGCATCCGGGATGGTACACACGGCGTCCGGCGCTGTCGGGTCCGCGCACCGGCCCTCGTGGTCGGCCTTTCGCGCGTCAAGGGACGAATTGAAGTAGGCCCTGACCGACGCCACCGTCAAGATGGCATCCTGCTTGGGCGGCCCCCCC